ATTTTTCATCATCCTTTCTCGAAGCTCCATCGATCTGGTCGGGGGTCCGAGATTGGACTGGTAGTTCTTTCGCAAACGATGTACTAAACAGAACGAACGGGTACTATATAACTGCTTCATGTATAGTACGTCGGTGATCGTGGAACGTTTCCAGTATCCGTGGCAACAAATAGAAGGCTGTATCTGTCTCGTTCAATTTATTCTTCGTTCGTCCTGGCTATAAATTCAATTTACACAGCCATGGTACAAAAAAACACAATGGCTTATAAATAAAAAAAAATCGAATTAACTCTATGGAACTTTTTGTTACGCCGCGGGTGGTATGCTACGGTATAGAATATGTCTAGTTGGTCTAGATGGGTGTCTTTGTTCACAAGGGCTTTTTTGATCGTTACACCTTTTTGTTTATATGAAAAACATCGCTTGTATAGAATGTGACAGAACTATATCCAACCAAATTTGTCGATAACAATGAAAGCTAACATTCTAAGTAATTTTAACAAAATGCCAAATTAAGTTAAAACCTCTTTCTGCATAAACTAATGTAATTAGCATTATTAGAGTCTACAGCTGTTCGCCTTCTTAATAATATACGGACGATCGATGATCGATAGGAATCACATGATCAAATGGACCTACAAACAATTTATCGGCCGCAGCTAATGTTTTTCCTTTGTCAGAAAAAGAAGATTTCCTTCGCGACAGGCTACGCATATGCAACAGAGGTTATTTCTGTCTAGGACTACTTTCAGAATTTCAATAAGTCTGCCTTCGTTGGTCCGCACGGCTATCTAATGAACCATATCGTCAGAAGAGTACAGACTCCTTCGTGAGATACCCTCAATGATGATATTAAAGAGAAAACGTTCAATACAGCCGATTTTTCGTTTGGCAACCACAAGTATTTTCATTAACGTATCCATAATAAGGCAAATCACCACTGTTAAATTTGACTATTAGTATATTGATTATTACGGACAAATTTACCGAATTTCAATAATCTATTTACCTACCCAGCGGTAAGTTAGACAACGCCTGTCTCCATATGACGACATTTTCTAAACTAGCCACAGAACTTGCCCAAGCTTCTTTCTTTGCCGGTAGCGATTTGCGAACAAGACAATTAGTAACGCGGCAGAGCCGCTGACTAAATAACAGTTTATTTCTATTCGCGGCCTGTGGGGGAATAAGGGGTTCCTCGCCTTCATCACCATATGCGGGCTTACGTTTACCGCCGCGTCAAGACACTACAGCTAAAGACACTGAAGCCGTCTCGCCGCAGCTGCCTCTCGCCGCGAACTGGCGGGTTAAATTAGAGCGGTGAGAAAATGTCGAACTATTTTCGTCGAACAAAATTAATTAGTCAACGGTAGTGCCAGAGTTTTTTTTAAACTAGTTACAAAATTCGAGTCTCCTACTTCTGCAAGAAGGGTAAGGTATGATGGCGGGTCTGCGGTAAGGATGTCCAAGGAGGTTAACAACATTGCCGACAGCGTTAAGCTAGGTTCTCCAAATTCCCTTTGCCTAAAGAGAACTAAATGCTAAATCGAAGACAGTACCGCTCTGCAAAACATATTTAACCTGAAGTAAGGCTCTGCTCTGTGAGTCTAAGTTCGCCATTCCCAATCAAGAATGGTTCTAGCTTTTTCCGTTTTGGGGTGTTGGGGTTACGTTAATGAATAGTACTAAGATTTTGATCGTTGGTGGTGCTCGTCGAAAAATACTTCTCGAGCGCACTGGAACCGCGGCACTTTACCTGTAGGTTGACACTTTGCGAAATAAATTTTATTAGATATGAATCGCTACGCAAAAGAAATGCTCAAATGCCGTTTCTGCCTCTAAGGAACTGATGGGGCATAAAGAGGGGCCGGGTAAGGCTGTTCCTCAGAGGACGCACGAATTTTTTTTATTACCTATACTTCAACCTTTCTAACAGACCAGGATAAATTGACTTTTGCTAATTATACAGACCTATAAAATCCAAAACTCGGCAATAGTGGCTTGGAAGTTATACGTGTTCGCGTAGAAACGAGCTTGATTTCCATGTTCAAAAACACCGTGATTTTTACCTTAATTAGTACTTATAAATCTACAATCAATCGAACAAACGAATCCTCCCGTGTCTGGCTTGTCTTTTTCGTTAAATAAATATTATCAAAACATTTATTACCCAAACTTTGTCCAACGCCGTAACTTTTATTAAAGATACTTTATTCAGCAACGCATAATAGCCATCGTTAAGACAGGGAACCAACTTAACGCTAGGCATAATACGAAGCTTTGCTTAATAATGGCTGCTACAGGGATGAGATTTATCTTACGAGGCATTACTACTAGTGGCATTTCGTTACAAACAGGTGTGTGCTATGTCTACTATAAATGACAGCTGGCTCTTGATAATAAAAAAGCTCGTTTTGTGACAGCGTTCCGCCGATATAGGGAGAGCAAAAACAGAATCTGGTCTGTGTGGACGTATGCCGAAGCTCGATCGTATCTTCTGTTCTGTCTTCTGTTGATTTCTACTGAAGTCTTGCTCCAATGATATAGAAATAAATGTCTTCATACAGATTGATGTGTGTAAACAATGTTCTCACGACGGAGATCGACGTCTTAGCTCCAAAAAATCATCGCTAAGTGCACCTCAATTTGTACAACTCTTCCTGGTAAATATGACCAGTCGGCTTTAATTCAGTTATGGATCGTCGTCCCCGTGATTCTCAAACGAAGATTCGCGTTACGTAAATAAAAGTGGTAACAAACAATTTTGCTAAGCTCAATTTCTTCGACGATAACTTTCACGCTGATGACAAACCATCATAACGAAGTCTTGCTTCGTTTCAATCACAGTTCCGTATCGACATCTGAAAGAACTCCCATGCCTGCTTTGAGAGTTTGTCACAAACCGGGCTTTGACTTCGTTCGTATTGCATAATGCTTAAGGTGGTCACAGTTCGCATCTCCACTTCCAGTGCATTTTATCCATGGCTTGCGATAGCCGCTGGCGTCATCTCTCATCAGCAGCCTGATTGGCGGCAGCAGTAAAACTTTGAAGAACCTCTTTAGTCGCCTTTAGTCTGAATGGAAATTTACCAATTGCATCGGAAAGAATTGCTTTGGTTGGTAGAGTCTCGAAAGAGTCGTCGTCGTCGTTCTCGGGATAATCCAATTGCGAATACATGGGGTATTCTCGACTCAGACGTGCGTTCCGCCCAACGCATAGTCAAATATGATAGGCTGGCGCTGTTTTCGGGGAAGCCATTTTGCTGGTTGTTGTGCAGTCGGCTGTACGTATGAATATACGTCGTTGCGGGCAAGGACGAACTAGCGATTTTGAGAATTGTCTACCCTGCGATTCGGTTAATCGCCATTGCAGGAGACGATGATGATCTATTACCCATTCATTGCGTGGCTGACCCGCGTTGTTTTTTGCCAACGTACCACATAGCGGCATCCATATGCTTTCTCGTATGGAACGACAGAAAGCCCTCCCTGAAAAAAAGTCGTAGTGACAGTCCAGGATTTCCTTGACATGTTTCTCAGAAAATCGTGGAAATTGCATGTAGACGCACATCGTGCTACCGTACGTGACGCCAAATGACGGAGGTTTTTGCATCAGTAAAATTGACAAGTTGATGGAAATCTGATTGTTTTTTAGTTTTACTTCGTTCGATTCCAGAGAGTGCGTTGGCATTTACTGAGGAATCAATCTTAGGAGGCAATATTGTACTCTGCTTGATTGATGTTCAACAAGTTTACTGGAAAACTTCGTTCAACTTAGCGTACGAATAACCTGCGTTCAAGGTTTCATTACATGGGACTGGACTCCTGGTAGGTGTGCCAATTGAAACCAATGTCAAGCGGAAGGGTGCCCAGTTTAAGCAATATGAATCGTATTAACCTCTGAGGCAACATATTTAACACACTCTATATCATTTTCATTCTAGTGAATAGGCAATCTTTGCACTTTAGCACGGCTTCTGCTAATAGCTGAATGGTAACGTTTCAGGTCTATTCAAACGCCCGTTGAAACACAATTCTTCAGTGGGGTGGACCGATGTCTTTATCGAAGTCGGCAAGTTTAATTTTACAGTATATTTTTGTCAACGAACTGTTCCAGTGCCCCAACGTCGTGTGTTTTTTTTTTTATTTCTAAATATATATATATTTTTTAATCTTTAAATAATCCTTGTCTTTTATGTAAAAATGTGTCCGTTGTTTGCTATGGCTATTTGCTATTTTCTAGGCAACACGGACACAATCGTGATAACAGTCTACCTAGCTGGAAAGCAAGATAGTGAACCTATTCCTAAACCGGCTGCACCGCCCTAACCTAGTATATTTGTGCATCCCACTTCTCATAGTTGTCGCTAACTAGACCCGATCGTACCAGACCTGACGTTGCTGCTAGCGTCGTTGACGCTGAGAAAAGATTTCCCTCAACATTTCCAGCTAGTCCATATCTGGGTACCGAAAGACAGTTACCACCAATTCGTACCTAACAGCAAACTCATTCTGACCAAACGAATGATGACGCCTCCTTGACACTATCAGTCACAACGGACTACGCCGACGTTGATACTCCATGGCGTCAAGCGGTAACACTCAGACGAAAAAGTCCTCGACGCTGCCGTCTCTACTGGTACTGGAACGGCTTCTTACGCGCGTCGTCCGCCGCTATGGCCGTCGTCAATTGTCGCTGCAGCTGTAGCTGTAGCTGTCGTCTGACAGCTTCGACGCCGCGATTGCGGTAGCTCGCACCATGCACCGGGCGGTGGTGGCGGTGGTGGTTCGCGAACTGGCGTCACGATGACCCCCCTTTGCTTCGCCTGGGCTTCTCGTGGCGCCCTCGCCGTGCCATCGCGCGCCCGATCGTAGTAGACCTTTCTCACTCTTTTCTATTTGGCCGGCTCATGATCTATACGGCGTCAGGCCGGTAGAATGGCAGCACCCAAGCAAATCAGCAACAACTGAAGTTGCTTTAACATCGGCAGCAGCGCCACTGGCTGATATAGCTTATCGGAGGGGGCGGTCACCAATACCTCATCAACGTCGGGCTTCGTTGGGACATTTAGATCCACCCCCTAATACCATAGCTATCAGCACTGTGCTCTGCTGCGGTTCGGCTGGCTTTCCTGTGCTTAGATAGTCGCGTTCGTATTTAACGTGTTCGCTAGGGTGAAAAACCGCTTTGAAACTTCCAGTTTCCTTACAAAATGGCGAGTCAACAGGTTTGGGTGGAGGCGTGATCTCCGGAGGGTCGGGAGTCCGGAGGGATCGCGCCGGAGATCGCTCTCCTGCAATGAGCAGTAAATGGCCCGCTTTTTCAAAGCTCTTGAGTTTGACGAGATATTGAAGATTTGAATGCATCGTAGGATGTACCGACAGCGAACTAGTGAGAAAGAGAGAAAAAAGGATACTCAAAGTGTTGTGGTGGTGCAAACTCGTCAACGTAGGAAATTGTGCAGTCCCTGGATTATGGTAACAGGTTGCTGAGAGCGTCTCCTATGAATTCCTTACCAGCTTTGGTCTGCCTGTCATGTTGAACGATTCGCTTTCGTGAACGATCCGCATTAGGTCGAGATCAAGGTAATTCTCACCTTTAAGAAGACATCTCCACTATGAAATATCATCACTACATCTCTAGCATTTTTATTTGCTATAGTCGACACTATTGAACACTCTCTCCATTAAATACATTTTGTAACCGGATGGGCAAATGCAACGCATCTAAATATACGCCTGTGCTTTGATTTACAATACCAAATCAGAAGCTACCTCCGAAAGAGTCACAAAATTATCTTACGATTCTAAGCCAGTTAACGACAAATAAACATTTAATGGAGAGATTTGATTCTCTCGGAACGTAACCGAACATTTCGTAAAGACGTCATCGAATAATCTTCATGCGCCTGTGTGTCTTGTCAGGTCATCGAGGGTGCTTTTATTTTTTTAACATAATAATCGTATTCAATGAAAATTAGATGTGAATTTCTTATCGCACAGGGAAGAGCCTTCTGTTACAGGGAAAAAAAAACGATACTCAGTTATAATTATTTTTGGAAATAGTTTTAACTTTTATGTCCCCCAAAAGGACATCTTTTTCGTTGGAAAGGAGGAAATCAGCCTTTTATCTAAAATGGATTTAGGGAGCTTTCTATTTGAATCGCCCCCTTTCTACCTCGTTAGCAAGATCTGCCCTCATTTGTCACCCCAGTTGCCAATGGTCTGATGCAAAATACAAGAGTTACTGAAAGTACCTGGGCAACCTGAAAAAAATTCCATTTTTAAAGATGCATACTCTTGTGCTTTGATAATGCATAGATAGAAGCAGTTATCTCCAGGTGGCACCTGATCGTACGATGATAACTAGGACAAACGATAAACTACTTCAGCGACAATGAAAACATCATAATGGGTCTCCGTTATATGTTATATAAACTAACGATTTTTCCAGAGGGAAACGTTAGAATAAAAACAAAATGAATACGTATAGCAACGTGGAGACGCCACCCATTATATAAAATACCGAAAACAATTTATGATCCTAATTTATGATACGAGCCGCCAGCGAACATAAATCCAAGAAGTACATTTGTTACGTAGCAGACTGATTAGATGGCAAGGCGTTCCATTCCCTACGCTACTTTGGAGCACATCGCGGACGATCCGTGTATTCCTGGCCATGCGTAAAAACGTTAGTATCAAACTATTAATAATTCAACGATTTCAATTAACGGATAGGTGAGGTAGAAGCCGGTACAAATTGCTTGTCTGCCACGTACTAGTTCGACTTAACAACTATGGATTCTCTATGTTTGTTGAAGTCAGTGCATGAGATGTATTCTAATAAACTTTAGGCGCCTTGCGAATTGTCTCTGCACTGAAGTGAGAATTAAATAGAAAAAAAAATAGGATATTAGGGCAGTTGTTACTATTGTCCTATTATCAATCGTAGGGAGGAAAATGCGTACCGTTAGAACAAGCGCGATGTCGATTTATTACGGTGGCTGGCAGATTGTTCGAAACAAATAGAATTTGGCTACAGAAAACTAGATTCTCACATCATTAGCCGATCGCTCATTATACGGCCAATTACTGCGTGTTTCATTTCTAATATTTGCAAGCTTGTTAAGTAACCTATTTCGTATTCTGAGCGTTCCTAGTCTAACAGGAACATGGCTGACCCTGGAGCATCTAGAGATAATTTTCAGTAATTACCTCCGTTTACTTATCGACTTCATAGCTTTGATTTACTTATTTTCAAGGAACAACAGAGGATATATTACTTTACTATTAAAAACCGCATACTAAGTCTGCCATCTGCTTTCGGCGAAACCGATTCGGTCTTATTGAATCGACAGTCAATGTTTTTTCAATGATAATTCATAAATAAGGTTAATCCAAATAGATTTACTCCGCTACATCTCTGTTCTATAATACATTGAACTAAAACAATATTTCTGTCTAATTTGTTATTCTACAGCGTAGATAAATCTATACGAAAATAGCAATATCCCTTGCGTTGTTCTTTACCCCACTAAGTTTAGTTAAAAATATATTAAGAGCTAAACACAAACCCCTGAATACACGAAAGAATTTAAAAAAAACTGAGCTTTTTCCACTGGGCTGGGGCTCTTTCATTTACGAAGGGCCTAGACGATCTGGACGATGTCATACGTATACTGTGTAAAGTTGGACCGAAATGTATTTTGGCAACTATTCCGCAAGCGAAACCATTTTTTAAAATTACCTGTAAATGTGAACGGCCAATAAAAATCTACTACTACTTAATTTATTAACATTTAATATATTGATCGGATTGTAATGTATCACATTTAAAGTAATTTAAAAATATATACAGAAATAGAATAGCGCAGGCAAGCCAAACTTAATAAGTAAAAGTCATACACAATTTCGATAAGGATTCTTAGATTTTTGGTACAATTTTAACTCCCCGTCCTCTGTCTCAGGGGCCCCCTGTATTCGTGGAGGTACAGTATTTAATGCGGAAATGATGAGTTTTCCTGCGTGGTGCGTTCGTCCTTTAGCCGCATCGACCGCTTTCGATAAGCATGGAACCCAATCAAATATGTTCTTTCCAGTAGTGCCAACGGGAAGTGACCACTGCATAGGAGCGTCACAATATCTTTGCGCGACATTCTGACGGCTCAATGTCCTGTTTAAGCGTCTACTTCGACCTGTTAAAATGGCTCGTTTCCTGAAAGTCAGCCAAATATGCTCGTATTCATGTAGAAACTAATTCTAGCAGCTCTTTTTTTCTTTTTTTCTAATGTTACTTCGTATTAATAATATACTGTTGTTAGCAATGAGACACGTGTGATGATTGTAGAGGCTAACAAATCGCATGTGAGCTTGATATGAAATGCCTGCTCATTCAGTAGAAAACGGGGTCCGCTATCTAATCTGTTATAACAGTTATATTGAAATATATCTGGCACAATTCAGTAGCGATAGAGCTGGTGTTGAAAGCTGATGTAGACGAAAACTTTTCGATGACTGACTCCCGGCTGCTCCTTCTACGACAGGTTTCAGGATCGTTGTTTCACATTGGTTCAGAAAGCTGGGCTCAATACAAGTAATCCTGAGTGGCCGAACAGAATACAGAATTATGATTTTATCTTTTGATTTTTTTTTTCGGAAAATCCAATTTATCAGTTGTAGGACAAGAGCGGATCCTTATAAACAGGGGCTTCAAGTGTTTGATATTTACTGTATTATATACGAAGACAATACCGAAATATACTTTGACTAAAATTACGAGATAACACGTTGAACCCGGAGAAATTTTCGTCAACGTTTTGCTTTTTCTCTATCTACGAAAATGTAATTTTCACCGAACTCTAACAGCTTAAAAAAGTGTCATCTCAATCTTTCTTTCACTCATCTCAAAGTCAAAGATACTAGATTTTACGAAGTCCTCAAAGGCAACGGTAATTTTCTCTCGATGCTAATTACTCTCGTTGGATCCGTTCGTCATATTTCGTGCACACTTCTTCCATTTTTCGACACATATATATTCATATGCGCACATATAGGTGTTAACTGTTTACCCGAATCCCTCGATAAGCGTCTGCTCTCGAAACACGCTAGCGAAATCGAACCCTTGTTGATTTTCAAAGCTAACTTCTTTCTACATTTGCAGTCGCATAAAATCATGCGCACAGAATTCGTGTAATATTCTATATAATAGAAGTATTTTACGTTGTGCGTGTTGTCTTGATGGCAGAAACGCCTCTACCGACAAGATAACGTCTTAATAAGATGTTGTAGGTCAACTGGGTTACAGCGAAAGCACCTTACCATCGACGTGGCTGGCCACACAGATGACATGCCTCCATTTGCATGAGTATGACATTGCTGAAAAGGTCAGCTTCAGCCATCTTCAGCTGAAGTACCCACTAGCCACAGCTCCCGTTGATAGCAGTGTATATTTCCGCCACTCAAAATCAGTGCTGTGCCAACACTACTGCCAAAATAAATAATGCCACTGAAAAACGTACGTACTCGCATTTGTGTACTGAAGAAAGATAATTTGGCTATTTTGGACATCTTCGTTCAATCGTTCGTTGAATTCGAAATCTGACGTCACGAGGCCAGTTAATCTCAGGTACAATAGTGGTATTCGCTGACTTCAAGTCTGCCGAATCCCACAGAAAAGACGCATAGAGATCCGAATTTACGGCGACTATTTCTCGCACGTGATAAATGTTCATCTCCGCTGCAATCACCCTCTGCGTTCGGCGGCGGCCGCCACCTAAACGCGCTAATGGACCTGCGTATTCTTAAATTATATTGGAAAAATAAGAGGACGACAATTTCGACAACTGCATACCACCGATCTGCATATGTTCTTATTTTAATCTTTGAAAATATCGAATTCTTATCAAGGCGACGCCGACTAATGGTCTTCCGAACGAGCGTAGTTTACTGCAATAAAAGGCATGACAAAAACTTTGAGAGGACAGATTTGAACTTCGGATCAGAGAAAAACAAACATGAATTAGTGGCATCATCTGAGCATTGTTGCCTGAAACGATATTGTAATTAGCATTGTACTTCGTAGATTTCAGCTGTTCCACGGCAGTTGGGTAGACGGACGGCGAAAAGCGAGGGGCCATCAGTAATATAAAAGGTTCGAGTTGAAAGAAGCGATACGTCTTATATGGTCATCATCTAAATAAAAGTGAACTAAAACATTTCTCTGTATGGTTGTTCGTGCCCTCAAACGGCACCTCCTAGCGCTTCAGTGAAGCATAGAAGGTGTCAAATTGTATACAGTGTCACAAACCCACCGAGGTGATTTAAGAAGCTTTAAACGGATCCGACACAAACGTGGCAGAAAGAAGTTTATGGCCAAACGTCTGTCACTACAGCAGTTGGTTACAGTTACCACTGTTTACTGAGTTAGCCGGTTTTACTGAGTAGCTCACAGGAAAAAGCTGACAAACATGTTTCCGAAATGAAAATGTCGTTTTGGTCAAACGATTTACTCAAATAAATGCGTCTCATTAGTATTCGCTTCTGTTTTACTATAGTCTACTTCTATCCTTGCCAGCTCAAAGCTG